CAGGCAGCTGGCGGCGGGCTTCTTGGGTGGCGGAGGGGCCCCCTCTCTGGGCTCAAGGGCCACGGCAGGGGCCACCGGCCTGAGGACGGCCCCGGAGACACAGCAGTGGAGAAGGATCCCACCGAAGATGAAGAAGGTGCCCCGCCAGCCCAGGTCCTCCAGGAGGTAGCGGGAGAGCAGCGGCCAGAGGGTGATGCCCAGGGAGACGCCCACCGAGGCCAGCGCGTTGGCCAGCGCCCGCCGCCGGCTGAAGTAGTAGCCCAGCACGGTGATGCTCGCCTGGAAGCTGAAGCACATGCCCAGGCCTGCGGAGGGAGAGGGGGCCAGCTTGGGGGGTGGTGGTGCTCTGGGGTCCGGCCCCGCCCACCCCCAAGTCCCCAGGGAGTTTAAATGCCCGTTCATACAGCTCGTCCTCAGACCTGTTTGGCACGGAGAGGCTGGTGCCCTGCCCCAGGTCGCCAGGCTCAGGATTTGAACCCAGGCAGTGTGCCTTCAGCGGGGGGTGGTGGTGCTCTGGGGTCCGGCCCCGCCCACCCCCAAGTCCCCAGGGAGTTTAGTGCCCAGTTCATACAGCTCGTCCTCAGACCTGTTTGGCACGGAGAGGCTGGTGCCACGCCCCAGGTCGCCAGGCTCAGGATTTGAACCCAGGCAGTGTGCCTTCAGCGGGGAGGCCGTGGCCCCTGTGCTCCACGCTGTCCCTGGAGTGAAGCTGAGACTGCCTTCCTCTTACCCTCTGGATACAGGCCCCACCCCCAGCTCTGTGCCCCCCCAAGCCCAGCGCCAGCGTTTAAAGACCCTAAGGGGATGAATTCCTTCCTCGCTGAACCCGGCCAAAGATTTCCTGCTGCTGTTTGGAAAATTCCCCAGTGTGTAGGGGCTTCAGAAAGTGTGTGCGTAGACAGTGTAAGAGATGAAAGAATACTAACCACGTATAATTGATCAAGGGTTCATGAGGGACGGAGGGCAGAGGAGAGGGGGGAAAGAGGAGCTGATATCAAGGGCTCAAGTTGAAGGTGTTTTAGAAATAATGATGATGGTGGCAACACTGTTCAAATGGGCTTGATACGAAGGATGTATGGAATATTGTCATAAGAACTGTAAGAGCCCCCCAAGAAAATGATTTTTTAAAACCCAACACAGTGTGGGGACAAAAAAACGGGATGAGGAGATGATGGAATTTCCCCCAAGAACTTTCGGAAGCCCCCCACCCCCGCATGTATTGTGACTGTAGGGCCCTACTGATGCCTGGGACCCACCACAGGCCACTCTCCTGTCCCCCCTGGGCCCCCAGCCACACCAGGCTTCCTCCTCATTCTCTGCATGCCACCTGCCTGTCCCAGCGCAGCGATGACCTCCCAGGGGGCCCTGCTGCTCCTGCTGGGCCCACCCCCCACAGAGGGAAGACCACACCAGGACACCCGCCTCCAGTGGACCCCCTCCCCTGCCCTCTCCCTCGTCTGCCCATCCCGACCTCTTATTGCCTGCCTCTGTGAGCCCACAGCCAGACCAGCCTCCCCACCTGCATGACCTGGCTGCTCTCCGTGAGGCACCCCCCATGATCTCCTCCTCCCTCCATGTTCCTTCTCCCATAAAAAAGAATGCCTTTGCTGGACCCCCCAGGCCCATTTCTCAGCTCCCCTTGCGGCAAAATCCCTTGGAAGGACTGTCACTGCCTGCAGGCTCCAGCCCTTCCTGCTGTTTCCCAACCAGACCGCCATCCTCACCCCGCTACGCCTCCGCGTCTACACTCTCCTGACTTGATTCATGGCGGATCTGGCACACCCGGGCCACCCGTGCTCCCAGCCTGCTCCCAGACCCCACACACTCCTGATGCTCCTTTTCCTTCCAGAGCAGACCTCGGACCCTGGGGCCCAGGGCCCAGTCCTTGGGGCAGGGCGCTCTCCATCCTCACTGCCTCCCTCGGGGACAGCAGAGTGACCCTTCATCTCAAGCCCTTAAGGGTCACCTAGTTCGTGCGTCTCCTGGATTCAGAACCAACCCCTGAACTCCAGACTGGACCCACCCAACCCTCAGCTGCCCGTCTTCCCCAGGCCTGCGCTCGCCGGTGAGTGGTGACTTCATCCATGGGTAACTCGGGCATCAAGCCCGCTGTTGCCCTGCTTGGCTCAGGAACCCCCTACTTCAGCCTTGACTCGTCCTGTGTGACTGTCGCATGTGATGCTGACCCTGGTCTCCTCTCAGCCTCTAACCCTCCCATCACATCCCAGAACCCTCCACAGCCATCCTGCCCCTTTCTGCTCCCCCCTCTCTCTCTGAACAGCTGTCTTGGCTTGGAATTCACACGCCATACGCTTCCGTGGTTCAAATGTACGACTGAGGGCTGAGTGGTTCGCAGCCAGAGAGACCGGCTGGGGCGGAAGTCATGAGCTTGCTGTGCGTTTCGGGGACAGAAACGGATGCCATCGAACAGCTTGTGTAGAAATTGGTGAGCGGTGCATACAGCTTCCACCGAAAACACAAGAGAAACCGGAATTCACCGCCATCGAGTGGATGCCGCCTCACGGCGACCCTACAGGGCAGGGTAGAACTGCCCCTTGGGTTTCCAAAATTCTCTCAGGAGAGTAGAAAGTCTCGTCTGTCTCTGGAGGAGCGGCTGGCGGTTTTGAACTGCTGACCTTGCCATTAGCAGCCCCACCTGCAACCGCTGCACCACCAGGGCTCCAGAAAACACGTGAAGTGTGCATGCCAGGAGCTCTAGAAACTAATAGAATATTCCGTGTATACAGACAAGGAGCCCGGTGCCCTGGTGACGTGGCAAGGAACCGCTCAACTCCCATCATCACAGTCTCACAAACCTGGAGGGCCACTGTGTGACGGAATGGGCTCTGATGGTGCAGGGGTTGCTTGTTTGTTTTACACACACACACACACACACACACACACACACTTGAGTGGGTGCCGGGACTTCGCGGCATGGAGGGACAGTCACCTGTGATGAGGCCCGCTGTGATGTAGAGCTGGCTGAGGGTCCTGGAGAAGGAGCTGGTCACCATGCCCAGGCAGGCCAATATGCCCCCCAGCATGACTGTCGACCGGCAGCCAAAGCGTCCCACCAGGATGCTGCACAGGGGCCCTGTGGGGGGAGAGAGAGGGGGCATTGCAGGGGAGAGCTGAGGGAGGCCAGCCAGGGCACAGGCCCTAGCGCCTGCAGGCCAGGCCTCTTCCATCCTGCCGCAAGCCGGGGCTGGTGGCCCGAGCAACGCTTCATCGGGCTCCGTGCCTCAGTTTCCTCCCCTATGGAGGGAGAGACCAGGCCAATGGATAGCTGATCAGCTGGGATGGGAGGGACTGACCCGGGCCACAATGACTGACCTGGGTTGACCAGTGGGTCACCCATAGGTCTGTTTTGGAAGGAGGTTCTTGGGGGAACTAAAGTCACGTTGGACGTCCCTAGCTCTGCTCCCTGTCCTCAACAGGGGTCCTCAAACGGGGTCCAATGAGGCCCCGTTCTCTTCCACTTACACCTCTAGCTGTAGCCCCACCACCACCACCACCACCTCGCACCCTGTCCAGTTCGGGGCCTCTGTTCCTGCAATGGGTAGCCTGGGTGTCTGGCTATCCAGGGCTGCTTGCAGTGCCCTGGGGAGAGTCTGAAGGGCTCTAGGTAGGGGTGTGGTGTGTTTTTCCCTCCCCCTCCCCAAGGTCTTTCACCCAGACTTTTGGTTTCACTTGGAGCGTGGCCTGATCTCCCCACCTCCAGCCTGAGGCATGTCTCACCACCGTCAGGGATCAGCAGGAAGGAGCCAGTCCAAGGCAGCTGCTCCTGGGCCGTTCACTGAGCACCCTGCCCCCAACCAGCATCACTAGTTTCTGCGGGGCTACCCTCCCAAGTGATTCCACGGACAGGGGCAGTGGGTGTTAGTTTGGGGTAGTATGAATATGTGAAGATCCAGGGAGTGAGCCGCCCATCCCCGGGGACAATCAAGCAGAGGCTAGTGAGGATGTAGCTTCTGAAGGAGGGGTGTGGGTTTTGATGGAACATGAACACTGGCTCACCAGCTCCAGTCCAAGGGTGCTCCCTTAGTCAAAGTGACATTGGGAAAACCCTGAGTCATCATGATTTGGGTGTGGGGACTGGACACGGGCCAGCTTTATAGCAAAGGGTGCTGGGTGGGGCCTTGGCCAGAAACCAGCAAGGCGGCCACAGGGAGTCCTGCCACTCTGGACATGCTCTCTGCTTTTCAAAGTCGCGTGCCTGGGAAGGGAACCGAGGCACAGGCTGTGGGAACGCCCCTCTGGGGGTCCCCAAAAGATTTCCCCCCACACCCAGCCTTGAAGGCAGGGAGGCCTTAGTGGGCTGGGCCAGGCGCCACCCTCCCAGGTCCTGAGCTCATGCCTTGGAGTGGGGGTCATCCCAGGAAGGAGGTGGCAGGAGGTCACCAGGGAGCTGGGGTTCAACAGAGGTGAGCAAAGCTCTATGGCCCAGGCCCCTCCCAGGTCTCTGTGTGTACAATTTGTGTGGAGAGTGCTCAGAACAGGAGGGCCCGGTACCTGAGGGGGGGGAGGGGGGAGGAGTCCTCCTGGGGCAGCTGGGCGCCCATCCTCCATGGCTGGGCCAGGATGGGGGCAGTCACATTCCTGAAGAAGCCACCAGGAAACCAGCGTGTGTGTGTGTGTGTGTGTGTGTGTGTGTGTGTGTGTGTGTGTGTAATCTTGTTTTAGAAAGAGCCCAAAGATGGCCAGC